TAGGATTGCACAATTTGGAACCTTTAAAGAAGGTAGCTATGAGGGAAATCCATTTTTTTATGGACAACCATTGCCATAAAGTTGCAATGCAATTGAATCACCATTACATAGACCAAAAGATTCAAGTATTAATGGAGAAGACAATAATTTCATTGATATAGATATATTCCATATCGGTTTTGTTGTGTCTTATATAATTGTGCTCGTAGGGGTTGTTGCAGTTTTGTTCATAAACCGTTATTGGTGTGTAGATGGTTTTATATTGTTGAGTTGTTGATAGCAACCTGTTATTATTTTGTTGTAAATCATCTCCATAAGTGATTTGATCATGAAATTGTTAGTTTGATTATATTAAGTCATTTTATGTTCTTGTTTAATTCCATGGGATCTCCGTCAATTCTTATCGATTTTCTGTGAATCCAAACAGCCAATTTCACTTTATGTGTTCACTCTTCACATTCACTTGCTTTGCACTGATAAGTTGTTTTAGGAGAATGAACACCTCATTGTTTTAGCAAGCAAATTCAATTGTTGGTTGTACTACATTTCTTAGGCATTTACCATTAACTGATAATTGAAAGTAGTAATAGTGATCAATATATTATATGCATTTTAATGGAGGATTTTCTGCAGCAATTTGTTAGATAAAAATATATGGAAATTCAAGGAATTTCTTGGTTTCCAACATAATTGCTTTAGTTACTACTGACTGTTTCAGAGTGCTCTGAAAATAAGCGCCTCATAATTCAGCAACCAAATTCATAACCTTCAGGATCCGTGATTAATTGAACTTGGCATGGCATATATACAAGCCACTAAAAAAATGGATTTTCTGCAGTAGTTGAGAAATGAATAATGATTTGGAATTGACAAAATTTATTGGCCTCAATAAGCTCCGTAGTCATGAATTTTTTAAGTCATGGGTTTAACTATACAGAATCAACATATGACAAATAAAACCAACAGCACCATTGATCCATCCTTGTGTACTCTATGATCCTCTTGAAAGAAAATAAGAAAAAATTGACAGGGAACAGTGTAACCAAGCAAGTGTTTTCCTCCATGTTCTACTCCCTTATCTTTTGGATTCCAACCCACCGTGCATAATCCACCCACCAGCTCATAAATTATATGCAGAGTTCAAACACTGAAATGACGAAAATTGAGCAAATTGATATGATATGGCTCTAGCATAGAGTTCCAAAAATCTTACATCAGTGATCCCAAAAACGTGTTGCCGGTTCGAACAGCAAAACATATTGCACTGAGTATAAGCTTATGTTGGTGTAACAATGGCTCTAGAATCCGCTGTTCAATAATTCCTGCAAGTACTTGATACCTGTTCAAAAAAGAATAGCCATCCTTTTGTTAGAGCTAGCTTTCATCTTTAGAAGGATTATTAGGGAAGAGAATCATCTATATTAAAGTTTATTTGTACTTCTTTTTCCCCGAGTATTATAATTCTCTTAGAAGCATAATTATAAAACTGAATTGGTATACATCTTGATGAAAAGCATTTTGTCATCCCAAAATTATATCCTCAACAACTTATAGCCATTTGCCAATTAGAGTTACACAGGAGAAATCATACGGTTTTATATTGTTTAAGTATCTTATTTTTGTCTTTTAATAAACTTCTATCCCTTTTTAATAATCTATTTTAAAATAATAATGATTGATAATATAATGTTTAAATTAAATTAAAGTTATTAATGGATCAATATTTATTTATTACCAAAGTAGTGTATACTAATATTGTAGTTTGAAAATGTAAATTAAATTAAACTAGGGACTATATACAAATGATAAACCCAGTCGTAAAAGTCGAATTTTGAGAAGGTAAAAATGTAAAACGTACAAACAAACAGGGAATTAAAAGATATTTGAAGGGTTGATATTATAGTTTGAAAACTAATGGGGTGAAATTGTATTTATTATTTTTATATTTTATCGCAGTCCCCATATCTGTTATGCAACGGAAACATAAACTCTAACGCTAGCTATTAAATATAATAATAACAAGTAGTAAAGCATAAATAAATAGCCAAAATTAAATACAAAAATAAAGAATACCAAGAATTAACGAGGTTCAGTATTGAAACCTACGTCCTCGGGCGCTGCAAAAGAAAACTCCACTATCTCCAAAACATTACAAACTTTTGGGCAATATAACAAATACCCAAAACAAAGGGAAGATACAACAAAACTTGCAAACTAAAAGGTCCTTAAAGAAAGAACCCTAAACAAAAGAAGTATAATGGAAGTACAACTTGGGATACAAATAACATTGATTTAGGTCCTTATATATAGGCCCCAAAAGTTTCCCACTTTTCATTCCNAATATTTATTTATTACCAAAGTAGTGTATACAAATATTATAGTTTGAAAATGTAAATTATATACAAAGGGTAATGATACCGTCATTGAAATAGGGTACTAAATTCATGCACCGAATGATATGACAAAATCCTGACCATTGATTAATTTTATAAGGCATATTTTATTTTGATATTCTAAATCCCTAATCCAATTTCAATTCCCATTGCTGCCGGTGAGCTTCTTTGTCCAACCGTCGGTGAGCTTCGTGGTCCAATCGCTGGTCACCTTTTGGATCTGCCGTGGAATGGTGAATTCTCTTTCCTTTTCCCCTTTGCCTGGTAATGGGGACTATGCGGCGTGACAAATTTCTGATTTAGCTCCAAAAGCAGTTTTATAGTGTGAGAGAAAATGCATATATATGCGCTGATGTTTCTGGTGCGAGATTGATTGTTTTTAGGTAACAAAATTCTCATCTGTTATCTGTTTATCATTGACATTGAATTTATTGTAGTTTTGATTACTTGTGTTGCTTAAATTAATCAACAACTGGAATTAAAATTCAACAACTCTGATCTATAGCTTTTGCACCCTTAAGTGTCAAAAGACCACTGAACTTTGCAGGTGATCTTGTGTCGTGCTAGTTTTGTGTACCTTTTAGGAAATTGTTTTCTCCTTGCTTTCGTCTGTTTCCTTTCTGCCAGTGTTGTGGGTTTAATACAAGTTATATTATTCTCAGTGTAGCATGCAATTGTAACCATAGTCCCAATTTTAACACTTTTGATTTCCATATTCATGGTGCTAAAGGTTTCATCTGTTGTTTGATTCACATTGTTCAAAGTTATTGCCATAACTATTCAGACTATGCTTAAATTCTCTTATACACGTTCTGTGTGCTTGCACTCTCCTTTTTGCTTACATATATACACAGAGGGTTCAATATGATTCACAATAATCCTATTTACATATCAGTTTAATGGTCTTGCTTAACACTAAACTGCCGATTGTGATTGAAACTGATGGTGGACATGGCAAAGTATGCTGAACTTTTACCCAAACAAAGAGAGATTTTTAACAGTCAGTTCATTTTTTGTTTGTTTGTTTCTGGTTCTTTTTTCTCCTATTGTTTATCATCCACAATAATTGTTATTGAATCAATTATTATTGTTGTTGATTGGAGGTGGGAACCAGTTAATATGCCAACTAGAAGGGTGGATGTATATATAAATACCATATAATACATCCAGTTTTTTTTTCTTTTGTTATGTGGGTACAATGAAATGAATGGTTCATTTTGTCTGGCTTAAAAAAACTGAAAGAAAATGAATAAATAGGTCAGCTGTGAAAAGGTTGATGTTCTATGGTCTTCCCATAGATCAAGTTTTTTTAATGTGTCTTCTCAAAAACGAAACAGTTGAACAGCATACAATGATAATTATTTGTTTGAATGAATGGAGCCTAGTTAATTAAACCTAACTGGCAGTGTCTTTACTCATGTTTAAATGTATAATTGGGGTTTAAAATTCTTCAAATTATTGGAAAATGCCAATCATATGCCGGCAGGATTTTCTTATTCCCCTACCCATGGCTTATTATTTTAAACTTTTTGTTAATATCTGGAATGTATAATTCTAACTATTGTAATTCCATATGAATTCCTGTCAGTAGTGTAACCTGCTTACTCCATTTTCCTGAAAGGCGCCATGTCTATCACTGGGGAAAAGCAGTTCTTTCAGTCACTATCAACATGGTGATCGAAAAGTTGCCTTCAGAGGTACCTATGCAATTTGGACACCAAAAGCAAATCCATGCTGCTCTAAGGAATTGGGAAAAAAATATTGGAGAAAATTTATTCAGTTGTTGAAGATGCAAAAGAGAAACAGATAATGAACTGGTCAGTGAAGATCTGGCTCTGTGACCTTAAAAACTTGGCTTACAACATCAAAGACATCCTGGATGAGTTTGCAACTGAAGCTTTGGGGAGGAAGTTGTGGCATGAACCTCAACCTCAAGCCTCCATAAGCGAACGAAAGAAGCTTATTCCTTCTTGCTGCAACAGTTCGAATCCAGGATCATTTAAATTCAATTCCAAGGTGGCGTCCCAAATAGAGGAGATTAATACTAGGTTACAGGATATTGCAACGCAGAAAGAACAATTGGGTCTGGCAAATAATTCAGGAGGGATGTCCAAAATAGTCAGACAAAGACTTCAGGAAACCTCTTTGGTTAGTGAAGCCAAAGTGTATGATAGGGAAAAGGATAAGGAGACACTTGTTGAATTGTTACTGAGTCATGATTCCAGTGCCGATGATGGAATCTTGGTAATCCCTATAGTTGGGATGGGAGGCGTCGGCAAGACAACACTTGCTCAACTTGTCTATAATGATAATAGAGTAGAAAATCTTTTTGCTGTTAAAGCATGGGTATGTGTTTCCAACGATTTTGATGTGTTGAGAATCACAAAAACAGTCTACAGTAATTGCTACTGGGAGTGGTGATAATAATGACCTGAATAAACTTCAAGTCGAATTGAAGGAAGAACTCTCAAAAAGTGGTTCTTGCTTGTTTTGGATGATATTTGGATGCAAAATTATAATCAATGGACCCTTTTACGCTGTCCATTTGAAGCGGGCCTGCCAGGAAGTAAAATTGTTGTCACAACTTGCAATCAAAGTGTTTCATTAATGGCGAAGACTGGTGTCGAGTATCTTTTACAAAAGTTGTCAAACTATCATTGTTTGTATATATTTGCTCATCACTCTTTGGGAACAAATGATATTGGCGTGCATGATCAAGAATTAAAAGAAATTGGTGAGAAGATGGTTAAAAGGTGTGACGGATTGCCTCTGGTGGCTAAAGCTCTTGGCGGCCTGTGGCACGGCAAATATGACATCAATGACTGGAGGGATGTGCTAAATAGTAAGATATGGAATTTATCAAAAGAGGAATGTGACGTTATGTCTGCTCTTAAAGTAAGTTACTATTACCTTGATGCCCCGCCCTCATATTTAAAACAGTGTTCTGCATATTGTCCATTATTTCCACAAGATTACGAATTTGAATAGAAGAAAATAATTTTATAGTGGATGGCTAAGGGTTTTTTGCATTCGCTTCAAAACTTGATAATAGAAAGATGTCCGACCATTGTATCCTTCACTGACGGTGAATGCTCCACCAACCTGACAATGCTTTCCATAATTGAGAGAGTGGAAAACTGAAGGCCTTGCCGAATTGCATGTTGAATCTCACCTCTCTTCAAGAACTGAAAATAGAAAGCTGTCCAAGCATAATCCTTCCCAAAGTATGGATTTCCCTCCAACCTTAAGTCATTCAAGATTAAAGGCGTCAATATCTGCAGGCTATTGTTCAAGTGGGGGTTGCATAGTTTCACCTCTCTTGAAATTCTTGAAATTAATGGAGGACGTGATGATGCAGTGTCCTTTCCTCAACTTCTTACCTATCTAACCTACTTGATAATTGAAGATTTTCCGAATTTAGAAACTCTGATTCTTGAAATGCCTGAAATTAATGTGAGTGATCTCACTTCATTCTAGCCGGCTATGATTGTTTCCTATATTTCCTCATTGCATTTTACAGATTCGGCTCAGTTTCTGTACACTCCGTTGATTTGGTCTATGAGTGCCTGTACTCTGTCCTGAGATGAGAATATGTAATGGAAAAAAAAAAGTAATTCTAGAGAATATACTTAATTTGGTGTACTTTCCTTTAGATGTATATTGATATAGAGATGATATTCTTCTATTTGTTATGAACTTGTTGGAAAACTTATCATTGGAAAATGTCAATTATTGCTAACACAATGTTATAAAATTATTCAAACATTGCAACATGTCAGTGAAACTTGGCAGCTTCAAGTCCAAGCTTTGAAATGCATCAATTACGTCAACTTTTTTATTTTCAACTTTGCATTAAAACAATGGTTGACAATTCCATTATACGTTAATTGCAATTTAATCTTGGCCGGTAGATTTCTGTATTCTACCCACTGCATTTGATACACAATAATAATTCAATGTGCCATTTTGACAAACCAAGTTAACCTTCTTCCTTTCCCAATAACTTTCTACAGATTTTCTGAACTTCAGTTTCCATAGTTCTTTTTTCCGGCAAAGACATCATGTCAATCATTGGAGAGGCAGTTCTGTCTGCGACTACTGAGATGCTGATCGAAAAGCTGGTTTCTGAGAAAGTTTGTTTCTGAGGTACTTGTGCTATTTGGACGCCAAGAGCAAATCCATGATGATCTCAAGAAGTTGGAAACGACATTGGTGATGATTCATGCGGTTCTTGGCGATGCAGATGACGAGCCGTTTGGTTAGGATCTGGCTTGGTGAACAACAAAACTTGGCTTACGACGTGGAAGACATACTTGATGAGTTTGCAACTGAATCTTTGCGGAGCAAATTGTTGCTTGAATCTCAACCTCAAGCCACCACAAGCAAGGGACGATAGCTAATTCCTTCTTGGTTCTCCAGATTGAATCCAACATCTTCCAAGTTCAATTCCAAGATGGCATCCCAATTAGAGGAGATTACTAACACCAGATTGCAAGACATTGCAACACAGAAAAAACAACTGTGCTTGAAAGAATATTCAGGAGGAAGGTTTAACACAGTCAAACAAAACTGCCCACAATCTCTTTGGTGAATGTAGCCAACGTTTATGGTAGGGAAGAAGATAAGGAGGCAATACTTGAAACATTGCTAAAAGATGATTTGAGCACAGATGATGGAGTCTCTGTTATTTCTATAGTAGGGATGGGAGGGATAGGCAAGACTACTCTTGCTCAGCTTATTTACAATGATGTCAAAGTGGAAAATCATTTTTGAACGAACAGAGGAAGAGAGAGTTTTCTGAATAATGCTCTTAACTTTCATTTATTTACAAGAGAGTTTATATACAAGTCTTAGCTGACTAATTACTGACTTACTAACTACTTAAACAACTAATCCAACTAATTAAAACTGACTAATTAACAACTTAACAAACCAGATAAAACGTGTGTTAAAACTGATAACTATTGAATTACATAAATACCCCTTCCAGTTAATTCCTGCATCCCCCCCTCAAGTTGGAGCTAGGTGACAATCACCTAAACCCAACTTGGACAAGAAATATGTAAAATGAGGAGCAGTAAGAGGTTTAGTGAAGAAATCAGCAAGTTGCTGTGAAGATGGAATATACTGGGGAGTTATGAAACCTGCCTTGAACTGATCCCGAACCACATGACAATCTATTTCCAAGTGCTTAGTACGCTCATGAAAAACTTGATTGGCAGTGATGTGTAGGGCAGCTCGATTATCACACCAAAGAGTAATAGGTAAGGAGAAAGAAATCTGCAAGTCTTGAAGCAAATAAGAGATCCATTGCAACTCACAAACTGTGGCTGCCATACTCCTGTACTCAGCTTCTGCAGTGGACTTAGAAACTGTAGTTTGTTTCTTTGTCTTCCATGAAATAAGAGAAGGACCGTGGAACACACAATAGCTAGTGAGAGACCTTCGGGAATCAGGGCAAGAAGCCCAATCAGCATCACAATAAGCTGTGACTGTAAAGGAAGAGTGAGCTGGAAAAAATAAACCTTTAGAAGGAGATCCCTTGAGATACCGCAGGATGTATAAGGCAGCATCCTAATGTTCTTGGCACGGAGAATTAACAAACTGACTTAGCTGCTGAACAGCAAAACTAATGTCAGGTCTTGTCAAATTAAGATACAATAAGCGGCCAATTAATCTTCTATACTGATCAGGAGAAGATAAGGGGTTGGAAGATTCTGAACTAAGCTTGCAACCTTTGAGAAAAGGAGTAGAAACAGGCTTTGCACCAACCAGACCTGTGTCTTCAAGGATATCCAAGATATATTTTCCTTGAGTTGTGATAAAAGTACCCCTGAAGAGCGACCTATTTCTATCCCAAGAAAATATTTGGCATACCCTAAATCTTTGATAGTAAAAACAGAATGCAGATAAGCCTAACCGCTGCAATATCACTTTCATTAGGGCCCATTACTAAAACTCATCAACATAAACAATTAGAGCCAAGAAACTATACAGAAGGTTTAGTAAAGAGACAATGATCATGCTTGGACTGAACAAAACCATAGGCCAGTAACTTAGTGCAGAATTCATGATTCCATTGTCTGGAAGCCTGTTTAGGCCATATAAGGATTTGTTTAGTTTGCAAACCTCTCTATTTTGTGCCTTAGAATAACCATCAGGAGGACACAATAGACTTCTTCATCCAAATATCATGTAAGAAAGCATTGTTAATGTCTAATTGGTGTGATGGCAAGAATGGGCAGTAGCATGGCCAAGAAATTTCCACTGTAACAAGCTTGGCAACAGGAGAAAAACTTTCCAAATAGTCCACCCATAAACTTGATTGTAACCTTTGGCTACTAACCTAGCTTGTATCTCTCAACACTCCCATCAGGCTTAAGTTTAATTTTATAAACCCATTTAGTGCCAATTGGTCTTTTTCCAGGTGGTAAGGAACTAATTCCCAAGTTGGTTGGATTCTAAAGCATCAAGTTCATCATTCATAGCTTTAATCCAAGCAGGGTGTTTGCAAGCTTGATGATAAGAAGTAGGTTCTTGAATTGTTGAGACATTAGCTAAAAAATTATATATCTTTGTGATAAAAAGGGAGGATCAATGTAAGGGTAAGTTGGAGGTGTATGAATTGAAGAACAATGAGATTTATCAACAGTTGAAATCTGATGGGAATTATGACAATGCAGCACAATCATTCATCCATTTTGGTGGTTGTTTAGATCTAAAACTGTGCCTAGGTAGAGAATGTTCAAGTGGGATAGGCTGTGAATGCATTTCTACATGATTAGGATACAAATTTTCAGAATTAATTCATCAGAAACAGGTTCAGTATGCACAACAGTATCAACTCTAGGTGATGAATGAGTTTCTAACTCAGAGAAGGTATAGTATCAGACCTATCAAAAACAGATGTAGACTGTGAGTGAGATGGGCAGGTAAACAGTATTTTCTGTAGGGAACAAGTCTAAAAAACAAAAGGAATTAGTGGCATACATGAGGTTGTTTGCCGTAGAATCAGTAGAGAAAGGAAATAGATGTTCAAGGAAAAATACATCTCGAGAAACAAATATTGTTTTAGAAGACAAATCATAAAGCTTAAAAGCTTTCTGACCTTGACTATAACCAATGAACACACCTATTAGCTCTTGTGCAAACTTATCCTTGTGTGGCAATGTATTGGTTGCATACAAAGGCAACCAAAAAACTTGAAAAAATCATAGGTAGGAAATGTTTGTACAGTAGTTCATATGGGGATTTCCATTGAAGGACTGAGGTTGGTAACCTATTAATGATATGAGTTGCCATGAGAATGGCATGATCCCAAAACCTAACAGGCATATTAGCTTGAAAAATCAGTGCTCTAGCTACTTGAAGTAAATGCCTATGTTTTCTTTCAACAATACCATTCTGCTGAGGTGTATAGACACAAGTTTTCTGATATATAATACCAATGTATGAAATAGGTGCTGACAATTAGAATTGAGAAATTCAGTTCCATTGTTTGTTCTAATGCTTAACTTTAGCATCAAATTGGGTTTTACAAGACGAAAGAAATTTTGCAAAGTAGTGAATGTTGTGTTTTGTGAGAAAGGAGAAAAGTCACACCTGCCTACTGTGATCATTAACAATAGTAGCACATAATGTGTCCTGTAACAGATTTACTTTATAAGGACCCCATATATCCAAATGAAGTAAATCAAAAGGTTTAAGTGATATGGTTCGACTTATAGGAAAAGGTAACTGGACTGTTTTGCTTTATGACACACATCACAATCGGAAAAAGATACACAATGGTTTTATCAATAAATTGTAAATGATGCAGTGCATTCAAAGAACTGTGACCAAGTCTCTTATGCCAAAGAGATAATGAGCAATGATCCACTTTATTAGCATAAAAAGAAATGTTACAAACAGGAGATAAACACTTAGCTGATATAGCTTGTGTTTCTTTCTTATTACAAGTAGAAAGATTCCTAAAATGGAGACTGTTTTTGTCCAGAATGTACAAATTCCCAACAAGTTTCCCAACTACTAATATTCTTCATTTTGTAGGTCCTGCAAAATACAATGTTTTGGATAAAAGTAAATTTAAGATTGCATTAGCAGTGAGTTTGGGTACTGAAAGTAGATTAAATTTGAGATGGAACAATGTAGAGCATATGCAGGGTCAGTTTAGAGTTTAAGAGGATTTCCAATATGGTTCACAAACTTTATGGTTCCATCTGGTAAAAAGACAGGTGTAGGTTTGGTTACAGGTTTTGGTGAGGTCATAAGTTTCAAATCAACAAACATATGGTTTGAAGCACCTGTATCAAAAATCCATGTCCCTACTTCTAAGCAATCAATAACTTGTAAGCTGTAATTCATACCTGCAAAGTCCCCTAGATGAGCAAGTTCACGATTATTTTCCAATTGCATTTTCTTTCATAGTCATAACCTCCTGCTGTATAATTCAGTGAGAGATTGTCCCTACAAAACTTTCTTTTCCTCTTCACCACTTCCTCAAAATTCAAAGGAGAATCATCATCTGTACTGCCATTGCCCTACCCCCAGTGTTGGTTTTACCCTGCTAACTTTCAGCTCTTTATAACATTCTGGTAAACCTATAATTTTGAAACAAAATCTCTTGTGGTGTCCATTTTGGTTACAAAAATACAGGTGTTATCAGCATTCCTCTTCCTATTTTCCTGTTTATTTTATTCCCCCACTATGTTACTACCACTATTTCCATACTTCTTTGCTGAATTATTCCCTTGATTCATCTTGGCCTTAGCAAACATGGCGAGAACACTATTGAGTCTGAAAAATTGATATGAACCTCCCTTTGTTTTTCAACTTTTAAAGCCATAGAATAAGCCCTATTAACAGTAGGTAATGGTTCAAGTACTAAATTGGCTCCTTAACTGATCAAGGAATCATAAGCCCCATCAAAAATTGCATCAAACGATTCAGAGAATTAATATCATTAATCTTTTTTCCTGAGCAAAATCAATCAGGAATAGGCAAAATGCAATTCAACTCATCCCAAGTTTTTTTAATTGTATAATACTTCGAAATTGTCTCATTTCCTTGTGACACTGAAGCAATTTCCCTCTGAATTTGATAGATCAAGGTCCATTGCTTTCACCATAATGTTCCTTAAGTTCACTCCATAATTCTCAGCAGTAGATGCATAAAGAAAAGCTCTACTATGTCACTTGAAACAGAGTTCAATAACCATGACCTAATCATGCAATCAACCCTTGTCCAAAGTTCAAAACTATCTGAATCTTGTTCTGGCCTAGAAATTTTCCAGTAATAAACCCTAACTTCTGTTTTGCACCTAATGCAATTAAAACTGATCTACTCCATGCTAGATAGTTTTCGTTACCTGTAAGAAGAAAGTTCACCAGTTGCATG